GCTCTGCTCCAGCCGGACAACTTTATGACTTTGCTACTGTGCTATCTGAGAGACATTTCTGTTATGATCCGGGACGGATTCATCCCGTCGCGGTGCGCAAGCACACCACGATGTCATAGATAAGGACTGCGCCATCAAGAAAAAACCTTTGGTCAGTACTTCTGAACTAGAGGCGTAAATGACCCGTATTTCTTACAGCGTGCATGTAATGCCCGATATCGGGGAGACTTCTTGACGACAGCCAACAGCGGATCACCAAAAACCGGATCACCAAAAACTACTAGGCGGAAAACCGCCCAGACTGGATTCACCTAACTTAGGTTACTCTCATCCTGGCGAGACTTGTTTATCTAAATAAATAAAAAAGAAGCCTGAGGTCTTTGCAACAGGAGGCTACGTTCTGTGCACGCATACACCCTACTGGGAAACTGCGTTCCAAATGCCTGCGACGTCATTGAAGAGAGTGGTACGTATCGCCGGTTCTTCTCTCCTTTGTGAGCCTCCCATCTAAATGCTGTACATGGAAAGATTACAGGATGACAATTTAACGAGTTAAATGGGTCTCGGATCGAGAAGAAAGCTACAGCGCTGGGAGGGACATCGGCTTCGAACTCATATTTTGCGTGTGGCACGCGTTAGCTGTTCTGGGTGTAGTATCATTCAAAGCTGGCGTTGTTCGGACACGGCGGCGTCTTTGGGCGCCAGAGAAGAAGCCTGGAGTCTGGAAAATGAATTGAAGGCGCTCTCAGTGCGCAGTAATTGTAACAATTAAAGTGTTTACTAAATGGTTAGGGCCATCTATTATCCAGTTTCCAGGATGAGGCCTATGAGGCAATAGGGAAGCCGAATGATGTTGATACGAACTTCTCGCTCATCGCAGATCATTCATGCATTAATCATTCATTGCCATTGCCGCGGGGGTGCCAATCCAACTACGACCGCTGGTAGAGCACAACGCCAAAATGAGAAGGCTAGATTTCCCCCTTGCAAATGCTGACCACGCGCCATTGTTTTCTTTAAAAAAAAAATCCACAGCAAATTTTTGTGATCATTTGTATAGAAAAGGTTAGGTTGGCTACTTGATCGCGGCGGGGCCAAGTCATTGGTCAGGACAAGGGTAAGGAACTCGAACAGCGATAATCGCGGGGCTCTGATGATCGTCAATATTCGAAAATGATATGTGGCAAGTGGCAAGTGCTACAGCAGTCTGGCCACGCCACGAACCGGGCTAAGTGGTTGGCAATAATGCATGATATTCCACATCACCGATTTGATGCAACGAAGTCGCCGGGTCAGCGCTTTAGCTGGCACTGGCACTGACACCAGCACTGGCAGTCGGGGTTCGCCACAGCCGGGCCACGACTTAGGATCCGGAGGAGCGTCAATTTAGGCGCTGGTAGAAGTGTCTGCCAGTGATCGAGAAGAGCACAACGACTGAAGATGCTAATTAGTTCTCAACTGTCAATATCTCAATACCCACGACGACGACGGGCATCAAAAAAAGTATAACCTAAGCTGACAATTTGTGGCGACCGAGTGGCAACCTTTGCGCTAGCTTGCCAGGCGCCGCCACGGAACAAACTCATCCATCACATACGATTCCGGGTCACAAGTGTCAACGCTGTGTTTCGGCCCCTCCAAATATGGCTCGCGTTCCTTTCCCCATTTTCGTCGAGCTATTAAATATCTTGTGATTTCACCTCCCATTTACCAACTCCCTCACACTTCCCATGGCAATTGAAACCTCTCACTCGGTCATCCTCGTCACCGGCGGCACTGGTCTCGTCGGTTACGCTATACAACATGTCATCAACTCTGAACCCGTAGGGTCGAGGTTTGGAAGACGATCGGGCGAGACTTGGGTATTTATTGGATCTAATGATGCTGATCTACGGTACGTGGCCCCCGCGGAGCTCCTCTTACACTCCTTGCGCCTCTAATTTACTGAAACGCCACAGAGACCTGAAGCAAGCAAGAATGATCTTCGACAAGTACAAACCTACACATGTCATTCACCTCGCAGCACTCGGTACGTCCTGTATCTGCGCATCCCTCAGAATTCCCGCTTAACGCTCACCCGTAGTCGGTGGCCTATATCGCAATATGCGATACAAGGTGGGGCGAGGGTGTGCAGCCTCCACAGAGTGAAACGCTGATTTTTTTACTCGACTACAGCTCTCCTTTCTGCGTGACAACACGCTAATTAACGACAACGTGCTCCGTTGTGCGCACGAGATCGGCGTGTCCAAATTGATTTCGTGTCTGTCGACCTGCGTCTTCCCAGATAACGTCACATACCCTCTCGACGAGACCAAGATTCATCTTGGGCCACCTCACGAGAGCAATTACGGATATGCATATGCAAAGAGGATGATCGACATCACGAACCGGTATACTTCGTTTAACTTATTCAACACATGCATCTAACTTAGAACGGCAGCGCCTACCACGATGAACATGGTTGCAACTTTACGTCGGCGATTCCAACAAATGTGTTTGGGCCCAATGACAACTTGTGAGACATCTGCCCATTAATGGCGTGCATGTTCTGAAAGACTTCCCTTGTTAAGTGACCTAGAAGATTCGCATGTTATCCCGGCTTTAATTCATAAATGTTTGCGGGCGAAACGTGCGTTTGGGACTAGGCATCTGAGCGTCCACCTGACACTCATGACACTTGTACAGGTGATAACACACCTTTCGTTGTGTTCGGCACTGGCAAGCCTCTCCGGCAGTTCATTTACTCCTTCGACCTTGCCAAATTATTCATCTGGCAATTGCGCGAGTACGACGGTGTTGAACCCGTCATTCTCTCAGGTTCGTAACTTGGCATGATCAGCACGACATGGACGACACTGACAACGAACTTTGGTAGTGGGGGAGGATGAGGAGGTTAGCATCAAGCAGGTAACAGACGCCATTGTCGCGGCCGTTGGTTTCGAGGGCGAGTACAGGGTATGCCTCTTCTCGTGCTGCTCGAACGCCAACTGAGTGAACAACCCCAGTTCGATCCCTCCCGAGCGGATGGACAGTTTCGGAAACCGGCGTCGAACCAGAAACTTTTGTCGCTTCTTGGGGACAAGTTCGAATTTACACCATTTGATGTGGCACTGCGTGACACCGTAGAGTGGTTGGTCGGACATTACGACAATGATGCCAGAATTGGGCGGACTAATGCAAGAAAGCACGGAAGCGGCGTGGCGCACATTGAGGGGGCGTAAGGTTTGCTGTATGCTATCTACGATCTACTTGTGCCAAGTACGAATACAATAACAATTTGCAACGCGTGAGATGATTGTGGATAGCCGGAGTCTTTTAAATAGCATCCCGCAGCATCTCCACCGACATACTTTCTTCACCCACACCAATCTATCCATGGCTACACTTGCAAAAGCTACCCCTTTTGCTTTGCGCAACCTGCCGTCCCCTGAGGAGTGGCACAGGCGTAAAGTCGCCCTGATCTCAGGCGTGTCATCTTCCACTAGCGTTGCTAGGAGACTGATGTTTGTGTTGCACAGGCGTCACTGGTCAAGACGGGTCTTATCTGTGAGTCCTACGAGTGGCTCGTGTGACCTCAATCATCAATCAACCCTTTGTTTCCCCAGAACAGAGCTATTGTTGGAGAAAGGGTACGAGGTGCATGGCATCATCCGTCGCTCGTCCAGCTTCAATACTTCCCGCATCAACCATCTCTTCTTCGATCAACACGAGCGTGCGCCACACAGTGCTGTCACATCCTTACATCCGTACTAATTCCACCCTGGAGACAGGCAAGAACAAGTTTGAGCTACACCATGGCGATTTGTCTGATAGCACCAATCTCGTGTATATCATCGCGCAGGTCCAGCCATCCGAGATCTACAATCTCGGCGCACAATCACACGTCAAGGTCTCCTTCGACATGGCCGAGTATACTGGCGATGTCGACGCTCTCGGTACCCTGCGTCTGCTCGATGCCGTGCGCACCTGTGGCCTCCAGAACCATGTGCGATTCTATCAAGCGTCGACTTCCGAGCTTTACGGTCTCGTCCAATCTGTCCCGCAAGACGAGAATACTCCGTTCTACCCACGCAGCCCCTACGGCGTCGCAAAACTGTACGCTTTCTGGATTACGAAGAATTATCGCGAGGCCTACAATATGTACGCCTGCAACGGCATCCTCTTCAACCACGAGAGCCCCCGCCGTGGGCGCACATTCGTAACGCGCAAAATCACCCGCGCTGTCGCGGACATCAGTCTCGGAAAGCAGGCGTGCCTCTACCTCGGTAATCTCGATGCACAACGCGACTGGGGCCACGGTGAATTTTCATCTTATTTTTTGCAATGCACCTACAACGTTTTCCTCAATTGTACTTCTTACCTGCAGCCCGCGATTACGTAGAGGGCATGTGGCGCATGCTTCAACAGGAAACTCCCGACGATTTCGTCCTCGCAACCGGAGAGATGCACTACGTCCGCGAATTCGTTGAGAAGGCGTTTAAAGTCGTGGGCGTGGAGATAAAGTGAGCTGACCACACCGAACGACGAGTTTTCGCTGATCGCTGTTGTCCGAAATAGGTGGTCCGGACAGGGTGTCGATGAAGTCGGAAAGGACTCTCAAACCGATAGGATCTTGGTTCGAGTTGATACTATGTACTTCCGCCCGTCCGAAGTCGAGTAAGTGTCATACCTCTCTTCCTTTTGTCTGCGAGTCTTCATATGGTCTATCCTACAGGCAACTCCTGGGAAGGCCTGTTAAGGCCGAGAGGTTACTTGGCTGGAATCGTAAGGTCGATTTTGATTCGCTGGTCAAGGAGATGGTAGAGTCCGATCTTCAGGCAAGCAGGAGCCTGGTTGAGGATCACAACTAATTGTATTTGATTGTCGTGAACGTTTGAATTAGCGGACTTGTTCATTGTTGATAAAATCTCGTTACTGTTGTAGACAAACAAGGACTATCATAGATTTCGCTATTTGATGCGTACTTTTGTAAGACCGTTTCACAACGAAACAATTATTATGCCGTCGTGGCGCAATGGTAGCGCATCACCTTCCTACGGAGGCAGGTGGGGGTTGCGGGTTCGACCCCCGTCGACGGTAAGATATGTCCGTTATGTTTTTATTCGTTCCACCTTTGCTACACCCCCTAATCATCAGATTATCAGACTTCATAGCTTCATAGCTCAACGTGCTTTGGCCTTTTGTCTCACGTCTATCTCTCGTTTGACTCGATAAGAGCGCGATCAGTTATCTTTACAATGGATGTCCTTATCTACGCGTCCTCAGCGTCACCCGCGCTATTCAATGGCCTGCGCACCGTACTCTCGCCTTTCTATACGGTGCAATCCATTAATTCCACAGCTCTAACCACACAGCCTTGGTCGAATTCATGTGCGCTTCTTGTCCTTTCGTCTCCTCCCGATGTTCCCGGATCCCTGTCCTTGCCTTCGCAGACACATGCAACCATCCAACAATATATCGCCGCTGGAGGACGTATGTTAGGTTTTGGCCTTGGCGTATCTATTCTATCCCATCGCCCCACACAAGATCACTTTAATCTCTGGGACGCCCAGTCAAGGACCGCCATTGTTCCAGAGGCGCCGTGCGAGGCATCGACGCCCTCGTCACCGGCATCTATCCGCCTGCGGACGGGCACATCGCTTTCTGGTCTTCGGCCAGCCAGCGTGTCATTCAGGTTGACACACACAACGTCGGACGTCATCCATGGGCACTGGGAGGGGACTGCTGATGCCATTGCGGGAATCCAAATTCCCGTAGGATCCGGGCTTGCGGGGTTCTGGGGTGTCTCGCTTGATGGCGGAGACCATTCTCCCGGTTCGCTTGCTCTTCTTCGATATGCGTTGGCATCGCTTGGACTCACCCTACCGGCGGAGAGTTCGACCGAGTCATTGAGCGCCCTACCTCCTATCCCCAAATATCCTCAACCCCAATTTTTGCTCCACCAACGCGGGAAAAGACAGATAGTTGAGACCGTCCTCCAAAGACTGGGACTTCCCTTAGCGGAATCGTCCACTGACGCCGGGGTCTTCAAGGATGCGGCGGACACGTATCACTTTTACCGGACAACCGTCGAGGGGTGCGTGCGCCTAGTGGGTGAAGCGCGCATGTCCACCGAGGTGGCAACACACGCGCCGCGGGTCGTTTTGGTCCTTCCTCCGGACATTTTCCCTCCTCAGGAGGTTACTCCGAGATTCGACGCGGGCGGATACTTCGCCGTACTCGATGAGGTCCGAGAAAATCAAGCGAACGTGCCGGGCGGCTGGGGCCTTGGCGAAGTTCTGTTTTATGGAGAAGCAGTAACGAGTACACAGACGATGCTGGAGAGGTGCGCGTGGTACTATTATGTGCAGGAATGTTCTCAGCGCCACCTCACAGAAATCCACGTTTCCTGACGTCTCTGCCTGCCCCGGTCGTCTCGCTGGCCACATTCCAGTTTGCAGGGCGGGGCCGCGGATCTAACACTTGGCTTTCGCCGGAAGGGTGCCTCCAGTTTTCTCTCCTTGTCCGTGCACCACTCGGCGCTTTCCCGACACCTCGCCTGGTGTTTGTGCAATACCTGGCTGGTCTTGCCGTCGTCAACGCATGCCGAAACAAGCGAATGCTGGGCAACCGCGGCGCGAGAGTTAAGCTCAAATGGCCCAATGATGTCTACGTTGAGCTACCGGGGAATGGCATGATGAAGAAAGTTGGCGGCATCCTCGTCAACACGAGTTTTTCGGGCGGGAACATGGACGTCGTCGTCGGTGCGTACCCATGTCTTCCCTCTCTCCTCCCCTCTCCCCGCGCCGTAACCGCTCCTGCTGAAACTTGGTGGCGGTTTGTTCAGGGTTCGGTGTCAACGTTTCCACCCCTGCACCTGTGACATCGCTGTCCCATCTATCTCCGCCGGGTCAGCAACTCAGCGCAGAGACGCTTCTGGCGCTGGTCCTTACCGAATTCGAGCGGCTGTGGGTAACCTTCATCCAAGGAAGAGGTGGTTGGGTGCCCTTCGAGGACGCTTATCTGGAAGCATGGATGCATTCGTGAGCAGCGCGCCTTCTTCCCGTATCATGACTCTGATGGTAGAGGCTACACATAGCGACCAACTAGTGACACTGACTACGGTCGAACCGCCTCGCCCCGTTCGTATCGTCAGGATAACTCATGATTATGGGTTATTGCGCACACTTCCTGAACGAACTGGGTGGAGTGAGAGTCGGAGTCACGGTGCTGAGGACGACTACATCGATTTACAACCGGATGGTAACAGCTTCGATATTATGACGGGGCTGATCAAGGCTAAAAAATGATGACGGCCGTGGTGAAAGTCGAGGGTTATCTAGTACACACGTGCCCAGCACGCACTGTAAACGCAGGTTGAGCCTTACTCCTCCTTCAAGAGTGAATGCCCTGTAGCAGTCGGCTACAGAGAAAAGGAATGCTGGCTTTTCCCAAGGAAGGATCGGTTCGCCTTGCAATTCACCTCTGTTGTCACTAGGTCTGGGTGGAAGCTGGCAAGGAGGACATCACGTTTCCGCTATCGCCTATCGCGTTCTTGACGGTGGTCTATCTCGCCACCACGTTCCCTTGCTTGACTATCAATTCATTTATTATGACGTGTTCCCGTACGGATCATTCTCCTCTTGGCGTGCCCCATAGTCCGAGTAGTTGAGCAAGTATCTCAGCCCCAAACTACCAGGCGTGTATCCGGACATCGTAACGGCGAATGACCAGAAAGTTCTGCTGGTACTCAATTTTCCGGTTACGAGGGCGAGATCTAGATGAGGATCTTTGCAAGTCCAACTTGTACGTAGTGCGTATCTCTTTGCGAGGTTCTGGGCTATCACGGGTACTGCCAGTATGTGAATTCTCTGGAAGATGCAGGGAGCGGGGTGTGTAACATTGATGCGAGTTGAGGAGCGGGGTTCAACCAAATGCCAGTGATATTGTTGCGTGTCACAACAACTTGGTAGCTGCAGTGAGAGAAGTCGAGTCGTACATAAGGACAATTTCTGGTCGGTCGACACTTATAGTAGTCGGGAGAGGCGTGATGCGGCCTGATTACGATCAACTTTTTCCATCGCCACAAGATAACACTGAGATAACTCGAATCATGGCATCTCCATTGAATTTCCTCGACTTTGTTGACAGTAACAAGGACAGGTTCATCCAACGCCTTGCACAAGCTGTAGAGATCCCCAGGTATATATCGAGTAGTTCGAATCATCAGACTAGTTCTAATCCAAGTACACCAGCGTATCGGGCGACCCTGCCCATCGTCATGACGTCCTTCGCATGGGCTCTTTCCTTGAATCTCAATTGAAACAGTATGGGGTAGAGACGAAACTCGTTGATCTCGGTACCCATACAATGGAGGGCCAATGCCTGAAGCTACCTCCCGTTGTCTTAGGCAGGATCGGCGACGACAAATCTAAAAAGACAATTCTCATTTACGGTCACTTTGACGTCCAACCAGTGCGTCATCCCCCGCGATCCTGATGCCTGCTTCTACCATTTGTCGTTTTGCAGGCCCAACTCTCTGACGGCTGGGATTTCCCGCCTTTCCAACTGACCAGAGACGACAAAACCGGTCGTTTGTACGGTCGCGGCTCGTCCGATGACAAAGGTCCCATCTTGGGCTGGGTCAATGTACTCGACGCACACCACGCGCTCAATAAGCCACTTCCCGTAAACCTTCGTTTCTGCTTCGAAGGAATGGAAGAATCCGGCTCTGAGGGCCTCGACGAGTTCATTCTCGCAGAGGTCAAGAAAGGCAAAGACTCTTGGTTCGACGGAGTCGACGCCGTTTGCATCGTGTGTACATATCACTTTTGTGTATCCCACTTCGTCTTCATCGGAAGTTTTTAGTCGGACAACTACTGGCTTAACACGCGGACGCCGGCCTTGACCTACGGTCTCCGTGGCATATCGTACTACAAGGTTGTTGTATCCGGTCCAGCTAGGGATCTCCATTCGGGCGTCTTTGGTCGTACAGTTCATGAGCCCATGACCGATCTCATCGCCCTCATGAGTAAGCTCGTCGATCCGAAAGGCAACATTCTTATCCCGGGCGTGGACGAGATGGTGCCCCCTCCAGACGAGGAGGAACGGCAAGTCCCATACCTTTCTCCTAGACATTGCTTGCACCATCAACTTGCATTGGCTACAGGCGGATCTACCAGAATCTTGACTACTCCCTCGAGGACGTTGAGGTTTCTGCGGGGGCCAAGATCACACTTTCAGATGACAAGGCGTCCGTCTTGATGGGCCGTATGCGCTCGCCTTCCCTCTCCCTTCACGGCATAGAAGGCGCGTTCTATGGTGCGGGCGCAAAGACCGTCATCCCAGCCAAGGTTGCGGGCAAGTTCAGCATCAGGCTCGTCCCTCCGCAGACCCCAGAAACAGTCGACCCACTTGTCATCAAATACCTACAGGACGAGTTTGCAAAACTTGGGAGCAAGAATACGATGAACGTTGAAAACCTGCACGGCGGAAAGCCCTGGGTTGAGGACTACAAGCACTGGAACTATGAGGCTGCCCATCGTGCGACAGAGGTATCCGGTTCAGCCGCCAATTTGTGTCGAGACATTGAGCATGTGTATTCTTTCTAGGCCGTGTACAATCGAGCACCAGACTATACACGCGAGGGTGGCTCGATTCCCGTAACGCTTACCTTTGCGGAGGCTCTCGGTGTGAACGTGTTGCTACTTCCGATGGGGCGCGGTGACGATGGGGCGCAGTACGTTCTTATTGCCTCGTGAGACATGTTACAAAGCTGTCTTGACTTTGCCTGACACAGCTCGACCAATGAAAAACTGGACACCTCGAATTTTATTCAGGGGGTGAGTAAGGCAGTAATTTCTCGTGCTTGAACTTGTAAAATGATGCCTGACACGCAGACCAAACTCCTTGGAAGCTACCTTTACGAGGTTGGCATGGGAAAGAAGGCTTGAATGTGGATGCGCGTGGCACGTGGGTGTGTGGTGGAGTGATTGGAGGGCGAAGAGGCATGAAGGTGTACCAACCATTGGCAGTGTGTTACCTGTTCCTCAGCGTTTGTAGTCGAATCGCGAAGCACGTTTGGAAGCTCGGCTTGTCCA